GGTGCCCTGCCCCATTCCCAGGGGCCTACGTCTTCCCATCCTGATCCCCCAGGTCCCCACTCCCGTTCCCCCTCCACTAGGGGGATCCAGGAGGCAGCCCCTGGCCTGCTAGAGACATCCCTCAGAAGCTGACCTCTGAGGGAAGTGGTAGGGAGGGGCTTGGGGCTCCTCACCATTCCTGCCCAGACTCCTGAGACCCGCTCCCCCCTCCTCCTGGGGGCAGGAAGCCTGGGAGTAGAGGCTGGATTCCAGGCTAGGTGGGAGTGGAGAGGAATGAGGTGGGCCGCAATGGCAGGGGAAGCCAACCGGGAGATGGGGCGGGGTGGGGGGCGTCTCTGAGTCTTCAGTTTCGCTTTCAGGGCCCTCGCGTGGCGAATCGCCCACCCCAAACTCAGATCTGATTCCTAATTAACACTTTCCCACTGCCAGGAAACCCCTATCGAAAACACACTCATGTACCTTTTGGCTGTTCACCCTGAGATGTCCTCCTTCGTCCCTAAACCACCCTCCGACCTCCACTCCCACGGTTCAGCCTCTCCACCCATCCTTGCCAGCCCTAGCTTCTCCCCTCTCTGGTGGATGTCCGTCTCCCTTTCCACGCCCAACTATCCCCCAGTACTGGTCTCAGCCTCTCCAGCGGGCCTCAACTCTGGATCCACCCCTCAACCTGACACCCCTTTCTCCGTGCCAGTCGTGGCTCCTCTCTCCCATATTTATAAGTGTCCCGTCGGGGCAGGCTGTGGGCGCGGCGTCCCCGGCGCATATCGTAGGCAGTGTACCGTGGCCGTGCCGTCAGCGTGTGCGTGTGCGTGTGTGCCGTGTCGAGGCCGTGTAGAGTGCATTGTACAGCATATTTTCATGAATAAAATTGTTTTAAATATTTCCCGCGCCTTGGGCTAGCAGGGGGAGCAGTGGCAGCGTAGAAGGATACTTGGCGGGAATCGTGGGGCGGGGAAGGGGGTGGTCCCTGTACCTGAGTCCACTATGGCTTTGTGTCTGCATCTGTGTCAGCATTCACTGATGCCTGTCTACTTAATGCACATTGGTTAAGCACCTACTGGGTTCTGGACGCTGGAGATATGCCTGTGTGGAGCTCTGCACCTGTTTCTGTGAACATGTACCTGCAGGAAGTTTCTGGCCTGGGGAAATTCTGTCCCAAATAAGCCTCAGATTTGGGAGACAAGGCACAGATATTTACTGAGAACATGTTCATGCCCGGTCCTGTATTAGATATAATTTTTGTTCCCATTGTACAGATGAGAAAACGGGGTCTGAGAGGGAAAATCGCTTGGGAAGGCAGGCTGCGGTGGTGGAAAGGAGGCTTTTGAAGGCACACAGGCTTCTGTTTGAATTTATTCCTTGCTGTTTTCTAGCTGTGTGACCTTGGGCAAGTTTTCAGCCTCTGTAACCTTGATTTCGTGGTCTAGACCACAGGATAGTACACCTATCGCGTGGATTTCTGGTGAGCAGTAAATGAGAAAAGACGTAAAGTGGGAGCACAGGTCCTGCACCCACTCATCCATTCATCCATGGAAGATTTAGTGAGCACCTGCTATGTGCCGGGTCTCATATCAAGAAATGGGGCTGCCGTAGAGAGCAACAAAGGCACATTCTCGGCTGTCAAGGAACTTAGAGGCTTGAGGGGGACACAGATGAGTAAATAGGTGATTTTAGATCAGAGATATAATGAATGGAGGAGTCAGGGAGGCTGTTGTGGGAATGAATGACACAGCTACATCATCCTGGGTTGAGGAAGTCAGGGTAGGTGTCTGGAGGGGATACCATCTCAGCTGGGCCTTGAAGGATGGGTTGGCGTTGGGAAAGGAAGGGATTCAGACAGAGGAAACAGCATGAGCAGAGATCCGGAGTCAAAAGATCATGTGGGTTCCAGAACAAAAAGCAGTTTAGCGTGGCCAAAACTCAGAGGTGGAAAGATGACCAATGATGGGGAGGCAAGTGGGTCAGAAGGGGCAACACTGGGAGAGGGTCCATGACCAGGTCAGAGATGCTGGTGGTGACTCAGACCAGGAGGGACAGGGGAGGGCAGTGGGGCTGGAGGAGAAAGGATGAGTTCACATCATTTTGGATGTAGAGGCATTGAGACTTGGTTGTAGATTGGACAAGAGGGATGAAGGAGAAGGGAGGATCAAATGATGCCTGACTTGGTTGGGCACTTGGGCAGACAGGGCCATTCCTTGAGTGAGGGGCTTGGGGGCAGGAGGATCCCTGGGGAAGATGATGTGCTCAGCCTCAGACAAGCTCATTTTGAGTTATGTCCTATGGGACCCCTTGAGATTTGGGAGGGATGCATATGTACTATGTGAATGGCATCCCCTGGCATTGGGCAACATGGTGGCCCTGATATGTCCAGCTGGATAGTGGGGTCAGAAGCCCAGGAAGGTGTCTAGGTGGGAGGGGGAGGTCAGAGAGACAGGAGCACAGAGGTTGTCCTGGAGGTGTTGGGAGTGGCTTGGAGGTGGTACAGAGTGGGAAGAGCTGGTGCCCTGGTCTGCTCAGATGAACACCTCAAACACCTTGGCACAGGAAGAGGAATGCACTGGCCAAGAAGGTACAGCACAGGGAGAGGAGGAAGACGAGGATGCCATGGGCTCCTAGTTTGTGAAAAGGGTGTGGTCTTGGAAAGGAATAATCAATGCTCTCGCCTCTTGGAGCCTCATTTTATTGGTCTGGAAAATGGGGCGGTTCCACCTGTCTCATATTTGTTTTGAGGAGCAAATAAGATTGGAATTATTCTCTGAGGTCACACCTGGCAAGGGGCAGAGCCAGGGTTCCTGCCCAAATGTATACCTCCAATGTCCAGGCCGTCCAGCAGCCCCTATTGCTTCTGGGGTGGTGGCTGTGAGCAGAGGAACAAAGGAGATCGGAGTTGGTAGGACCTGTACCAGTTCCGGGCTCAGGTCGGGGGCTAAACCTCACTGTGGGGTGTGGTGGGTGTCCCCACTGGGTGGGGACCACAGAAATGGACACTCCCATGGGACTAATGTCCCAGCCCCACCCCACCCCCGGACTCTGGGACAGCCCAGCTGGGTCTGGGCTCCATATGGCTGTAAAGCAGCCCCCACCCTAGGCTGACGGAGGGTGGGCTGCTGGTGTGCGTGTGCAGGTCTGTGTGTGTCCATGTAGCCCCATTTGCATCTGTCTGTGTGGGCCCATGAATATGTGTGTGTGTGAGTGTGTGCTGGGAGAGGGTCAGACTATGTGATAGTTGGGGTCTCCTGGTCTATATGTGCACACGCCTGAGCATGTGTGTGTGTGTGTGTGTGTGTGTGGTTGAGATGACAGTGTTTCCATCTCCAAGGGTGCCCACATGTGCGCCTGGGGCTG